ATGACATAAGTTGTAACAACAATAACTACAATTTATATTGTGTACCACATGCTATAGTCTGTATCTACTTACAGGTAGTGCATGTCCTTTTCATTTTTTAAAATTTAATTTAATTTTTTTTTTTTTTTGAGTTGGAGTCTCACTCTGTCGCCCAGACTGGAGTGCAGTGGCCACTCCTGGCCACCACAGCCTCAACCTGCTGGGTTTCGGCAATTCTTCCGCCCCAGCCTTCCAAGTAGCTGGAACTACAGGTGCGCGCTACCACACCCAGCTAATTTTTTGATTTATTGTAGAGATGAGGTCGCGAACCTGCGGGCTCAGGCAATTCACTCACCTCAGCCTCCCAAGGCGCGGGATTACAGGCTGAGCCACCGAACCTGGCTTAATTTTATTTTTGAGTCAGGGTCTCACTCTGTTGCCCAGGCTCAAGTGCAGTAGCATGATCACAACCCACTACATCCTCGACCTCCTGGGCTCAGGCAATCTTTCTGCCTCAGGCAACCAGGTAACTGTGACTATAGGCGTGCACCACCACACCTAGCTAATTTTTTGGAAATTTTTGTGTGGAGACGAGGTCTCACCGTGTTGCCCAGGTTGGTCTCAAACTCCTAAGCTCCAACGGTCTTCCCATCTCAGCCTTGATTTGCGTTTGGATCCCATCCTAGCTGCCTTGCATCTCACTTCAAGAATGATCTTTGTAATACACAGCTCCCATCTTGTCGATCCCAGCTCAGAACTCTTCAGTGACCTCCGTTGTCAGAGATGCAATTCCAGCTCCATTCCATGGTCTTCTGTGGTCTTGCTCTTCTTAACCCCTCTTCCCCACCTCTTTCCACACTCCCGATACTTTGGGGTTCTCTGAATCCTCTGTTCTGTTATCTCATGCATCTCTGCATGTATTTCCTTTGTACGGGATATTCTCTCTGTGCTGGTTCAGTGGGCAGATTCTCCTCATCTGAAGTGTCAGCTCAAATATTGCCACTTGTGTGAAGTCCTCCCTAATTTCATCCAGGAAAGACTCAATTGCTTTTTTTGTGTGTTTTCTCTCTGCACTTTTATAAGTATTTTATTGTACTCTGATTTCCTATTAAGTTGTTTGCGCTTCTTTTAGGTGGTAAAGTACTTGGGGCAGACACCACGACTGTTTATTTATTTATTTTTATTTATTTATTTTTTTGAGATGGAGTCTCACTCGGTCGCCCAGACTGGAGTACAGTGGCCGCTCCCGGCCACCGCAGCCTCGACCCGCTGGGCTCCGGCGATCCTTCCTCCTCAGCCTTCCGAGTAGCCGGAATTACAGGCGCGCGCTACCACGCCCGGTTGATTTTTTGATTTATTGTCGAGATGAGGTCTCGCTGCCCAGGCGGGTCTCGAACCCGCGGGCTCAGGCAATCCACTCACCTCAGCCTCCCAAAGGCGCGGGCTTACAGGCTGAGCCACCGAGCCCGGCTGACTGTTTATTTTTCATTGTGAAAAATGGCACATCCAGAAATACATTAAACAACATTTAGAGGTCATACATAATTATAAAGTGAACACGTGTGTAACCATCTTAGTTCGTTCAGGTTGCTGTAACAAAATTATCATAGACTGGGTAGGCTTATAACAGCGGAAATCTGTTTTTCACAGTTGTGGATGCTGGAAAGTCCTAGATCAAGGCACTGGCAGCTTCTGTGTATGGTGAGGAGGGCCTGATTTCCCCTAGAAGGCTATCTTCTCATGTGTGAATGCCCATCATGGGACTCACATGATGGGAGGGAAATGCAGCACTTTCAGTCCTCTTCGATAAAGGCACTGATCTCATCCATGAGACTTCCACTCTCATGACCTGATCACCTTCCAAAGGCCTGACTTCTAATCACCATGAGGATTAGACGTTCAACGTACGAATTTTGGGGGAGACACAAACCTTCAGATCATAGCAGTAACTATCACCCAGATTGTGGAATGGTATGTCTTCAGCACCAAAGGATCCCCCTATATCCCTGCTTCATGCCATTCATTCCTGTACTATTTATTTATTTATTTGTTTATTTATTTATTTACTTTGTCGCCCAGGCTGGAGGGCAGTGGCATCACCGCCTACCGTAGCCTCAACCTCCTGGATTCAGGTGATCCTTCTGCCTCAGCCTCCTGAGTAGTGGGGACCACAGGCATGCACCACCATATCTGGCTAATTTTTTATTTTTTATTTTGTAGAGAAGAGGTATTACTATGTTGCCTAGGCTTTAGGCTGCTCTTGAACTCCTGGGCTCAAGTAATCCTCCCATCTTGACACCTCCCAAAACATTGGGATTACAGGTGTGAGCCACTATGCCCAGCCTACCTTCACTTTTACCGCAATTACTTCCTGGGTTTTCTTCATAGTTCTATTAGCTGTTTATCCATTTCTAGATGATATTATTTAGTTTTATAAGTTCTTGAACTTTATGCATATGTAATCATATGTGGATTCTGTTGCATTTTGTTTCTTCTATTCAATATTGTCTTTGTATGATGCATCTGCATAGCTATGTGTGGTTACATTTCTTTTCATTTAATGGGGGTATAGTAGAATGCCATTATATGAAAATACCCTATATAGTGTATCTATGAATGAATATTTGGTTTGATCTCAGTTTTGACTGTGGCGCTTCAAATATCTTTTTTGGTACCCATGTGCGTTAATTTCTTAAGGATATAGATCTGGGAATGGAACTGCCTGTCGCAGGGTGTGTATATGTTCAACTCTATAATGCCAAGTTGTTTTTTCTTTTTTTTAAACAAAAGTTTATTCTTAAATGCACAACAGTCTTCAAGACAACACTTCATTCTAGCCACAGGTGGCAAAAGAGGTTACGGCAAGGGATACAGATGTTTAAATATGAATGGAGGCCGGGCTCAGTGGCTCAGCCTGTAGTCCCAGCACTTTGGGAGG